TTTAACATTTCAAGAGTTTCTGTTCCACTTTTCCCGAGCAAAAAGCAGAATTTCACCGCCACACGCTGTTCATGAAAATCAGCCATTGCAAAAACGACGATCACACAAAACAGTTGTCACTATAAACTCTGCCGAAACTAGTCCTTACCTTCTGAAGCAACAGTAGTCGGCTTATTGACTCAGGAATGTTAGCTCTATGTTCTCATAGCGGCAAAACCCGGTACTACAAAAGCTCTGCCCACAAAAAAATTAGTTCGGTTTCTTTTGGGTACCCCATCGTATACATCAAATAACTATAAATAACCGTGTGCATCAAGTTGCCACAGTACATAACTTTCAGCTTTAAAATTACCATATATGTATGTATAAAAACATAAAAATTGATTATGATAAAATTAATAATAGTTAATACATTATCATAATAGAATATGTAAAAATTCTCATACCACTTGAACAACTTCTGATTTCAGCCTATTTTCTTCCTGTCTCTTCAAATTTGCTTCCCTTCGACGCCGTTTCTCTTCTTTTTCCTTCTTTCTATCTTCTAATAGAGCTCGTGAATGTTCTTTAATTTGTTTGAGCTGTAATCTTAGCAAGTCTTTCTTCTCTTTTGACCTCCTTATTCCTGGTGTTTTAATAATAAAAGAAAATCTGTTACAAAAGAAAGAATATTTTAAAACAATTACATTGGAAAATAAGCAGTTTATAACACATTATATAAATTTATTATCATAACCACAGCACATAACAATGGACATCTGGAATTATTTCTAGGAGACTAAAGCAGCTGGAACATAACACTGATCATCTTCCTCTAGTGTCCCTTACTCACATTCATGGTGTGGTGCTTGAAGGTAATTTTACCTATATCTTAACAGACATATGCTCTAATGTTATTTTAGCGTCCTGTTGCACTGATTTAAGTCCATGATTTATTTCAACCGTCTTCCAGTGCATACACTCATCTATCTCACTCCTCTCTCTCGCACTACATGTTTCGGCACAAAAGTGCCATCTTCAGGTGCTTATTCGATTTACGANAGGGATGAAAAATCCTGAACAATTTTAATATTTTTAACATTTAATATTTATCAATATATATGATAAATATATATTTTAGTTATTTTAATATGAAGACGGCAAGGCATGCAGTGAACTAGTTTGACGTTAATCGAATAAGCACCTGAGGATGGCACTTTTGTGCCGAAACATGTAGTGCGAGAGAGAGGAGTGAGATAGATGAGTGTATGCACTGGAAGATGGTTGAAATAAATCATGGACATACATATGCTCTATAGAGAACAGAATTATCTCTGTGCCTAAGCAGTGTGCCATGAAGGTGCACAGGCAGACAGCATGACACAAGGCTCAAAATAATAGACATGAACAATCTGGAAATTCAATATGAGAACTAGCCTGCTTGATAAAAACAATAGAGGAATTGTTACTTCAGGCAAGTTTAGGCTATGAAAAAAATACGATTAGCTTAGAAACAAAACAATATCAAGAAAATATACAAATGCAAACTATGTACAATGATGGATTTGACAGTATCTTAAATTAGGTGATGCTTATTTTCTTGCATATCCTTTACAATTCATTAGTCGCTAATAACCAATTATTCTATGCTCTACAGTCTTGAGTTATCGATGACATGAAATAAATTACAAATAAATAAAAAATTCAGCATCTCATTCAATATCTTCATCTCCCTGGATTTTCACACTGCATTAGAGTACTCTCGGTCTAGAAAACTGAGATTAATGGCCATGGGGATCCAGTGCGCTGACCACATGACACCTTATATCTGAAAAAGTTGGCACTAACTTCACTGACAAGCGGCAGTTGCTCGGTCGGTATAGTTCGCATGCAAACTACAGGCCGTGGAGATTGTTTTTTGTCTTATTAGACGACTCAGATGCTGGGTGTTCTATTGCATAATGGTGTATGGTTAACTGTCTAGGGACACACAGCCCTCAGACAGGAAACACTGTAAGATGGAAACAGGGTTGCTGACTGGCCACTGTATAATTAGGTGGCAGCTACATATTATGAGCCTCTCATAAAATGTCAAGGAAATATGGAGAGGCGGAAGAATCCTACTACCCCATATTGTGTTAATGCCCAACTTTGACTCTGCATGGTCAAAACCAATGATATCAGGAGGATCTCAATCAAGAGGTTTCAGACACTAGCACTATGATCACGGATTTCTGAAGGGCCCTAGCAAGCATAATGGACCCAGTAATGGTCTAACAGCTTGGGGTGACTTGAATGTAAGTTGTTCCTCCTTCAAGATAACAAAATAAAAAACAACACCCATATCAACATAAGCACTAAGAAAAATCATTCCAAAAACATGTACAGTAGTAATACAATTCTCCAAAAAGAATACTGCAAGGTAATTCATAACACTTTCTTCAAACATATTATACAGGGTTATTAAAAAAGAATGAACCGATTTCATGACGCATTGCTTCAGTTCTCAAGCATCGTCATGCAATGAGTCAGTGACCATTTGAAAGAGGAGTTATCTAAGTTGTGAATGGCTGCCACAGGGGGGCTGAAGTTGTGTCGTTCTTCCGGCAACGTTCAGTTGTTCGTTTACCCTCGGAATGGCAAGTCCTCAGCAAAAGGCGTTCTGCGTTCTCGAGGTCATGAAAACAAATTCAGTTGTCACGGTGCAGTGTGCTTTTCAAAGGCGATTCGGCATTAATCCACCCTGACCTAAGAACATTCGACAGTGGTTTCGACAGGTTCAAGAGTGTGGGCGTCGGTGTAAAGGAAAAAGTCCAGGATGACGACAAGTCTCGGAGGAACAAGTGGCGAGAATCCATGCTGCGTTTCAGAGGAGCCTGCGGAAGTCAACAAATCGAGCTAGACGTGAGCTTCCGATAACTCAATCTACTGTCTGGCGTGTGCTAACAGTAACTCTCCATTTGAAACCATACAGACTGCAGCTCGTTCAGGCACTTATCAATGATGACAAAAGGAAGCGGATGGAATTTTGCGATTCGATGCTGGAGATGATGGAAGACGAAACCTTCATTTCACATTTAATTTTTAGTGACGAAGCGACTTTTCACTTGAGCGGCACAGTCAATCGTCACAATGTGCGTATTTGGGGAACAGAGCACCCACATGAAACAGTTGAGCACGAAAGAGATTCCCCTAAGGTGAACGTCTTCTGTGCTGTGTCTCAGGACAAGGTTTATGGTCCCTTTTTCTTTGAAGGAAACACCGTTACAGGACAAACCTATCTCGATATGCTCCAAAACTGGCTCTTCACTTCACTGCAAGCAGATTCGCATGACTTCATTTTTCAACAAGATGGAGCACCGCCCCATTGGCACCTGATGGTCTGAGCTTTTTTAAATGAAAAAGTGCCCCAGCGATGGATTGGTCAGAAGGGGGCCAAAGACCATGCTCTTTGTGCTTGGGTTGCGAGATCCCCAGACCTCACCGTGTGTGATTTCTTCTTGTGGGGATATGTAAAAGATCACGTTTATGTTCCACCACTACCCACTAACCTTGATGACCTTAAGCATCGAATAACAACAGCGATTAACTCAGTGCATAGTGACATGCTGATACGTGCCTGGGAGTAATTCTCTTATCGCATCGATGTTGCCCGTGCTGCAGGTGGTGGCCACATTGAACACTTGTAAGATAGGAAATAAAAGTTGATTGTGAGTAGAATACTTGTGACTTGGCTGCAGTTTTGTATTACTTTCCTTTAATAAAATATTGCGTAATAAAATTGGTTCATTCTTTTTTAATAACCCTGTATTATAATTATGGTGGAAAAAAAATGTTTTGGAATGTGACCTATGCAAAAATTAATCGACCATTTGAAGTCTGTTTTTCAAAGTAGGCCCCTGTCAGCTTTTTCCAAGTTTGTTGCTTTGATAAATGAATTGGTGTTTGTGGGTATGGCATGTTGTGTTGCAAATGTGTTAGTTCCAGCTTAAAAACACTATTAATTGTCTTCTGAAGTGAATGGCCGTCACAGGTGGTGAATAACTAGGTCTTCAGCCCTATGTACTTTGAGCATGCTGATGGACTGTGCAGCCTTACTGTTACCAAATTCTGATACTATCCCTTGTTTGGTGGAATGTTTAAGTGTTTCTCTTGTTGGCACCTTTATGGGGAAGGCAGTACTGCTATCTAATAACACTTCATGCGGGGGGGGGGGGGGGGGGGGGGCTGGGCGGGTTTT